ACAAAGGAGACTAATCAGAACTGGCTTTGACAAGCACTGTGGCAAAGGGACAATTAAAACAGACTTTCAAGGAAGGGGGGAAGAAGAACAAACTGGGGAGGAGGGTAGAGAAAATAGTGCAACAATGAATGAATGAAAACCCAAAATCTCTGTAAATGTTCATTTAAACTAATAAAATTTAATAATTTTTTAAAAAAGAAAGCAAGCTTAACTTCTAGCCTACTAACTAAAGGGCTAGTGGTTCAAACTCATCCATAAGTGTCTTAGAAGAAAGATCTAGAGATCTACTTCATAAATATTAGCCTTGATTATACACCCAGTCACACTCCACAAACCATGGTGAATAAAAAAGAAGAAAAAAAAAGATTAGCCTTGAACTAGAACTAGAACGTAGTTATGCTATACACATAGGGTGGGCATGAATTGGAATTAACTTGACTGCAATGGGCATGGTTTCAATTTTTTTAGTTTTAAAACCATATTTGAATGAATAAGGATGTTCTGTGAATGATGTTCTGTGATGTTCTGGCTGAGGGGTCAAGATGTATGCTGCTACAGGGTCTCTGACTTCTCCCTGGTGACAGAGTAAATTTTTTTATTAAAGACTCATCTACTACTCACAGTGTTTTAAATTTAACAGATGAAATCAGCATCTTGATGAAGGCATTTGTGTAACATGATGTATGGAGCAGAGAGAAAGCAAGCCAGTGCCTCCTGTTAGCCCCCTTTGAAGCTGGGCAGTAAGAGGTCACATGGGAAACTCAGTCCCTAAGGTTAGACCAAGGAAGAAGAATGTTTCTTGGAGGACTAACTCATGCCTGACACAAGTCATGGTATTTCCAATTGCTTCATATGCATATGAAATTTGGAAAATGAGTAAGGAAGACTGGAGAAGAAGAGTGTTTGTGATGAATATTGATACAAATATCAAAAGAACAAAAAAGGCGAGCTCTGGTGGCCTAGTGGCCGGGAAGCTGCACTGCAATCCCAGAGGTGCGCGGTTCAAATCCACCAGATGCTCTGCTGAAGAAGGAGGAACAATCGCCTCCTATACCTGTCAGATCCAATTTGACGGTACACACATAAAAAGAATAAATAAAAATTAAAAAAAAGAACAAAAAAATCTGTCTTAGAGAAAGTATAGCCAGGGAGCTCCTTAGCAATGAAGATGCCAGACCTTTAGCAAACCTTAAGTAATCGTAATGGCAGGTACGGATTTAGTGGCCGGAGAGGTTGTGGTGGATGCACTGCCCTATTTTGATCAAGGTTATGAAGCGCCCGGCGTTCGCGAGGCGACTGCAGCGCTGGTGGAGGAGGAAACTCGCAGATACCAACCTACGAAGAACTACCTGAGCTACCTGACAGCCCCAGATTATTCAGCTTTTGAAACTGACATAATGAGAAATGAGTTTGAAAGACTGGCTGCTCGACAACCAATTGAGTTGCTCACTATGAAACGGTATGAGCTTCCAGCCCCTTCCTCAGGTCAGAAAAATGATATTACTGCATGGCAAGAATGTGTAAATAATTCTATGGCCCAATTAGAACATCAAGCAGTTCGAACTGAAAATCTAGAACTGATGTCAC